TCAAATTACGACTTTTTATAGCGAAAATATGTCAATTACTAAAAACAGCGATGAGTCATATTTTGCTTAAACCCCCCTGCAGTTTTTAAAATATCTGAAATGTCAGAAATTTGACTCCTAAGCGTGATTTTTTAGCCGAATTCTAATTCTCTGCACCTATTTTGATTTTCAAATTACGAATTTTTATACCAAAAATATGCCAATTACTGAAAACGGCAATGGGTCATATTTTGCCCAAAACCCCTCTGCAGTTTTCAAAACGTCTGAAATGTCGGAAATTTGACTCCTGAGCGTGATTTTTTAGTCGTATTCTGACTCTCTGCACCTATTTTTTTTTCAAATTACGAATTTTTTTACCGAAAATATGCCAATTACTGAAAACCTCGATGGGTCATATTATGCCCAAACCCCCGTGCAGTTTTCAAAATGTCTGAAATGTCGGAAATTTGACTCTTGAGTGTGATTTTTTAGCCGAATTCTAACTCTCTGCACCTATTTTAATTTTCAAATTACGACTTTTTATACCGAAAATATGCCAATTACTGAAAACAGCGATGGGTCATATTTTGCCTAAACCCCCCTGCAGTTTTCAAAATATCTGAAATGTCGGAAATTTGACTCTTGAGCGTGATTTTTAGCCGAATTTTAACTCTCTGCACCTATTTTCATTTTCAAATTACTACTTTTTATACCGAAAACATGCCAATTACTGAAAACGGCGATGGATCATATTTTGCCCAAACCCCCCTGCAGTTTACAAAATATCTGAAATGTCGGAAATTTGACTTCTGAACGTGATTTTTGAACCGAATTGTGACTCTCTGCACCTGTTTTCATTTTCAAATGAAAATGAAAACTTTTTAAAACTACGACTTTTTATGCCGAAAACATGCCAATTACTGAAAACAGCGATGGGTCATATTATGCCCAAACCCCCCAGCAGTTTTCAAAATATCTGAAATGTCGAAATTTCTACTCCTGAGCGTCATTTTTGAGCTGAATTCTGACTCTTTGCACCTGTTTTCATTTTCAAATTTCGACTTTTTATACCGAAAATATGCCACTTACTGAAAACAGCGTTGGGTCATATTTTGCCCAAACCCCCCTGCAGTTTTCAAAATATCTGAAATGTCGGAAATTTGACTCCTGAGCGAGATTTGTGAGGCGAATGCTGACTCTCTGCACTTATTTTCATTTTCCATTTACGACTTTTTATAGCGAAAATATGTCAATTACTGAAAACAGCTATATGTCATATTTTGCCCAAACCCCCCTGCAGTTTTCAAAATGTCTGAAATGTCGGAAATTTGACTCCTGAGCGTGATTTTTGAGCCGAATTCTGACTCCTGGCACCTATTTTCATTTTCAAATTACTACTTTTTATGCCGAAAATATGCCAATTACGAAAAACAGCGATGGGTCATATTTTGCTTAAACCCCCCTGCAGTTTTTAAAATATCTGAAATGTCAGAAATTTGACTCCTGAGCGTGATTTTTGAGCCGAATTCTGACTCTCTGCACCTATTTTTATTTTCAAATTACGAATTTTTATACCGAAAATATTCCAATTACTGAAAACCGCGATGGGTCATATTTTGCCCAAACCCCCGTGCAGTTTTCAAAACGTCTGAAATGTCGGAAATTTGACTCCTGAGCGTGATTTTTTAGTCGTATTCTGAGTCTCTGCACCTATTTTTTTTTCAAATTACGAATTTTTTTACCGAAAATATGCCAATTACTGAAAATTACGATGGGTCATATTATGCCCAAACCCCCGTGCAGTTTTCAAAATGTCTGAAATGTCGGAAATTTGACTCTTGAGTGTGGTTTTTTAGTTGAATTCTAACTCTCTGCACCTATTTTCAGTTTAAATTTACGACTTTTTATACCGAAAACATGCCAATTACTGAAAACAGCAATGGGTCATATTTTGCCCAAACCCCCAGCAGTTTTCAAAATATCTGAAATGTCGAAATTTTTACTCCTGAGCGTTATTTTTGAGCCGAATTCTGACTCTTTGCACCTATTTTAATTTTCAAATTACGACTTTTTATACCGAAAATATGCCAATTACTGAAAACAGCGATTGGTCATATTTTGCCTAAACCCCCCTGCAGTTTTCAAAATATCTGAAATGTCGGAAATTTGACTCTTGAGCGTGAATTTTTAGCCGAATTCTAACTCTCTGCACCTATTTTCATTTTCAAATTACTACTTTTTATACCGAAAACATGCCAATTACTGAAAACGGCGATGGGTCATATTTTGCCCAATCCCCCCCTGCAGTTTACAAAATATCTGAAATGTCGGAAATTTGACTTCTGAGCGTGATTTTTGAGCCGAATTGTGACTCTCTGCACCTGTTTTCATTTTCAAACTACGACTTTTTATACCGAACATATGCCAATTACTAAAAACAGCGATGAGACATATTTTGCCTAAACCCCCCTGCAGTTTTCAAAATATTTTTAATTTAAGAAATTTGACTCCTGAGCGTGATTTTTTAGCCGAATTCTAACTCTCTGCACCTATTTTGATTTTCAAATTACGAATTTTTATACCAAAAATATGCCAATGACTGAAAACGGCAATGGGTCATATTTTGCCCAAACCCCTCTGCTGTTTTCAAAATATCTGAAATATCGAAAATTTTACTCCTGAGCGTGATTTTTGAGCCGAATTCTGACTCTCTGCACCTATTTTCATTTTCAAATTACAAATTTTTATACCGAAAATATGCCAATTACTGAAAACAGCGATGGGTCATGTTTTGCCCAAACCCCCCCTGCAGTTTTCAAAATTTTAGAAACATTGCAAATGTAACTCATGAGCGTTATTTTTTAGCCGAATTCTGGCTCACTGCACATATTTGGAGTTTGAAATTACTACTTTTTATACCGAAAATATGACAATTAGTGAAAACGGCGATGGGTCACATTTTGCCCAAACACCTCTACAGTTTTCAAAATATGTGAAATATCGCAAATATGACTCGTGTGCGTTATTTTTGAGCCGAATTCTTATTCACTACACATATTTATTTTTTTTAAATTACTTTTTTTTTACCGAAAATACATATGTCAATTAGTGAAAACTGCGATGGGACAATTTTTGCCGAAACCTCTCCCTGCAGTTTTCACAATCTTGTAAATATCGCAAATCTGACTGATGAGCGTTATTTTTTAGCCTAATTCTGGCTTCCTGCACATATTTGTTGTTTGAAAATATGGCTTTTTATACCGAAAATATGCCAATTAGTGAAAACGGCGATGTGTCACATTTTAGCCAAACCCCCCCCCTGCAGTTTTCACTATATCGGAAATATCGCAAATCTGACTGATGAGCGTTATTTTGTAGCCTAATTCTGGCTCCCTGCTCATATTTAGGGTTTCAAATTACGTTTTTTTATACAAAAAATATGCCAATTATTGAAAATGGGCATGGGTCACATTTTGCTCAAACCCCCCTGCAGTTTTCACAATATCGAAATTTCGCAAATCTGACTCATGAGCGTTATTTTCTAGCCGTGTTCTGGCTCCCTGCACATATTTGGAGTTTGAAATTACCACTGTTTATACCGAAAATATGCCAATTAGTGAAAACGGCGATGAGTCACATTTTGCCCAAACTTCCCTGCAGTTTTCACAATATCGGAAATATCGAAAATCTGACTCATGAGCGGTTTTTTTAGTGTGTAAAGTGTGTGGACAAAGACAGGGGGCACACTTGAGCATTATATCTTAGACTAATAAAATTTAACCATTTAGAGAGAAATCTAAACTCACGTTGCATGAATTGGCTAACCATCTTATTACTAAAGATAAAATATGAAAAGTGAATTGGTTATTTTAGCTAGCCCGTGTCCATACACGTCCCAATAGTTGCTGGTGAAACAAATCATATATACACTACCAACTACGACCCGAGTGCTGTATGTGATCAGCGGCTTTATAACTATATATAGCAATGTTACACCACGTACCAAAACAATGCAATACAAAATAAAAATATGCACTAGTTATATTAATGTAAAGTGCAAAAAAGAATGTGAAAGGTCCAAGTGCTATATATATACTCGATCCTCGGTAGTATAGTGGTTGGTATCCCCGCCTGTCACCACGGAGACCGGGGGTTCAATTTCCCGCCGGGGAGGCACCTATACTGCAACCCGTTCTCGCACTTGCTTATAGTCAATATTGGCTTATTTAATAAGTGCATATGTGACATACAAATTGATTGTGAATATTTTAGTTTATCTTGAAAAGTTTCATAGAAAACACCGACCTCACCTAACCTTTTTAGTATGTTAAGATAAGCATCTTATTGCTTCTTAATTACAATTATTACTTAACCTATACCGTTGATAGGTTAAGTAATAATTGTAAATAAGATGCAATAAGATGCTTGTCTTAACATACTAAGAAGGTTAGGTGAGGTCGGTGTTTTCTATGAAGCTTTTCAAGGTAAACTAAAATATTCACCATCAATTAGTATGTCACATATGCACTTATTAAATAAGCCAATATTGACTGAAGGCAAGTGCGAGAACGGGTTGCAACCATACTGACCCTATCACACGGTGTGAAGATGACTTCAGTGGAACGTTTTCATGTTGTAAACAATTCTTGAGTGATCAATGGTACTGTGACCAGTTGCCGACACCGAAAGAATATTTGTCAGAAGATTCAAGATCCTGATTTATAACATTTATAATCGCTCCTTTAAAATCTTAAATGAATGAAAGAAATCTTGCGAATTTATAGCCTCTGTGGTTCAGTGGTAGACTTCTTGCCTTCCACGCAGTAGGCCTGGGTTCAATTATAACTTTCGGATTGAGAACATTGGTTCTACAGGGCACGAGATCAATAGTTGTGGATTGGTATTAGAGGTTTGTTATTGAGAACTTAACATCCTGCTGGATCATTACCAAGATTAGTATTCAGACTAAACGCGTTGGCGAGGATTAATGGGAAGATGGTTTAAGGCAATATATATAAACATATAAAGGGCCTACATTTTATTTGTAAACAAATCAGCCAACACACAGACATCAGAATAAACAATATTAAGGCAGTAAGAGGAAACATTCTTTGGCCATTATACTGATAAACTTCAACTAGAACAACACATAACTTTGTTTATAATTCAGCATACCATCGAAAAGCTGGTATGTTCCCTTACATTACATTCATCACACTTTTACTGTTGATCAATTCCCATCTAACTTTTGGTATATGCGAATGGGTGGTCCATCCAACACTATCTGCCTCGCACTCATTGTTATATCACAATCGACCTTTGAAACTATAAGTTCTGTCGAACAACATGAATATGTACAAATCATTTAACATGTAAAACCCACACGCACACAGATAAAGAAAATGATTATCACACTAGATAAAGTAATTATTAAAAAGTACCTCTCTCAGAAGGCTGTTTTCAGTCGTCTCTTTTACGGAATATTCAAGAGTCATTGAATATTGGCCATCATTGACGATACCAATACGAGAGCAGATATCACAAGAGATTCACCGACGTGCACACACCTCCGTACTCTTGTACTTTATATATTTACAAAACTTTATACTCCCATATTAACCATACTTTTAAACTACCTAAGGAAACATCACAAAACCCCAAGAATACCACTCAAGAAATAGACATTCCCTGCGTCTGAGCATCAAACCTACCCCCCTGCATATGAGGTCCCAAGTATACAGAACTGTCTCTAGGCAGAAAATTAAGCAACATTTACTCATCGAAAAATGTATTAGAGGTTTCTTGCTTTGCATTAGTGTCCCCCATTGTATGGGTGCAGATGGGGTGTGGAGTAGACTAAGTTTATATACAAACTGCCCACAGAAGTCAACACGATCAGTCCTTGGCTATCAGTTGTGGAAGAGCGCGTTTACAACGCCACAGCATCCTCGCGCCGCTAGTTAAGGTCAAACGTGGCTTTTCTTAGTGGAGTGCCTTAAGAAACACAAAGGGCAATTTTATGTTCCAACTCGATTCATAAATCCGGGAAAGGGGTCACCGTTGGATGACCTATGAGGTGGTTAAGAATCACTCGAGGAGACAAGAACAAAACTCTTGGAATTTTAAAAATAAGTAACAGACAAATTTGACAATTTCATAATTAAGATGTGGTTCCAGCCAATTATTTTCAGATAACATGTTACATTTATAATTTTCATATTATAACCCTGTCAGGATTAGTTGGCATATGACAGAAATCGAGACCGTCGTAGAGACAACGTCTCTAGTGTCAAGATGAAACTGGTCATAATGCTGATCATGGCAGGTTGTTAATATAGGGTACTGTCACAGATTAATACACATTAACACTGACGGGCATAGAACTAGGACATTTATATTTATAGTGTATCTGGATGTAAATACACTATACTTAAAAGTTAAATAAATGACCGACGATTAAACAAAGAACATTCCACTTTCCGAAGAATTTTTTTTGGTAACAACAGACTATTCTTCAAAGTTCCTCACGGAAACTGTCCAGTCCTAGCAAAAGGATTTAATTAGCTTCTGAGGTCATGACTTACCGCGAAGTTACTGGGCTCCACAAACACTAATAACTAGCAATATATCGAAGGAAAACAATAAATCGTTTTTACAAACTTTCAATATGAGTGCATTCGCACATTACTTACCATCTGCTAAACTTGAGCCAACATCATTATATTAAGAGCACATATACAAACAACTGTTAAGCGGAAGGAGTAGGTACTGGCTCCAGACGTGACCGTAGAGTTTATGGAAATGTGAGGAAGAGTAAACTTTTCAGAGGTGAAGCGTTTCCTCCGTTCTTGGCGGTCTAAATGGTCGTCTTGAGGGTGGGCTTCTTCTCGGGGATGTTCTGACTTCAAGTCTGGGTTGTCGCGAGTCAGGATAGACCAAACGTCCTTCAGGATAGTCAAGTTTGTCTGGTTGGTTGCTGCTGAAGACGCTGTTAATGTTGGAGAGCGTGTCGATGTGGAGGCCCCAGCTGCTGTCGAGTGGTGGCTAATGGACACTACTACATTATGTCCGACATCAGCAGATAATTTTCCTTGAGCGAGGAGAGCTGCGGGGGCATGAGGGTTATTTTGAGTATGTGCGACGATGACTGGTCGAGGAGCACTACCAGAAGAGAAAATATTAGGTATCGGAGAACTAGTTTCGCCGTGTGCTGATGGTAGGGCGATGGTTGTGGGGCGGCTGAAGGGACGCCGCTGACGGGAGAACTGTGTCAGATGAGGCACTTTAGCCGGCACAGGTGGTGGCAGCTCCCCTCTAAAGGGCAGAGTTTTGGGCCGATTGGTAATGGAGGCTGCAGTACGTCGGTGGCTAGATGTAAACTGCGGAGGCGTGGGCAGTGAATCTGGCTCGAGAGGCCGACCATCAGACGTGAATACTTGGGTTGATGCAGCTACCAACATGTCTTCACCGTCCTCGTCGTACTCTAAAGGAAAGTTGACCAGCACTGGTTTGAGAACTTCAGGTCCAACAAGTTGTGGAAAGGGAACGGCATGGTCGTCAGGGAGGGGAACCATGGCTGTCATGCGGCGAAGTGACTGCTTGGGGACCTGCAGCAGACCCATGCGGTTCACACTCCCCGACGGCCTAACCGGCCCTATAGGCCTCCTCGGGCCGATGTTGTTTTTGTTAAGAAGTCGTATGATAGGCCTGTTAGGGGACAATGGACGGTTAGATGCAGCCCCTCCTAGTCGCGCCACTACGGGCGCCATTGGTACTGGCATTGGGAGGGGTGACAGATTAAGGCTCTCGCTGAACGTCACAGAATCATGGAGGATAGGATTTAAGAAGTGTTTCGATCGTTTTCCTTTATGGTTTTCACTAAGGTCATCGTCATGTGATTCGTCTACATCGTCTATTTTCATGTGTCTTTTAGCGAATGTTAGAGCGCTAGAGGTACGTGGGCCAACAGGTCGCTGCGCATAAAACACTTGTGGTGGATGTGGTGGCCGCGGGGCACGAACTGGCATTATGTCAGACGAAGAGACTTCGAAAGCCAACAATGGCCCAGCAGGATTTTTCTTAACAGGACGGAAATCAGATTCATAAACGACAGATTCTGGATCGAAACCGAAGTTCTGGGCAAAACTTTCATCCAAAGTAGTGGCTGGCGACTCTGTGGTGTGTGCAGGTGTCGTTTTATAAATTTGACCCCCATTGTTGGGCTGTCTCCTACCAGAGGAAGGCCCCTGGAATGCTAATGGAGCTTGAAAAGGGAGTAGAGGAAGTGAAGGTGCAGTTATAACTTCAGGTTCGCGATGAAGTGGTTGATGCCTCGTTTGTTGCAGGGACGTCGAGGAAGGGACGAGGGACGTCGATTGTTTGGGAGTGACATTAAATTTATTAGAAAGAGTTGGATTGGTGGGCTGTTCGGTATTTGTTGGATGGTTTGTGGTCATTGACAGCATAAACGGTATTGTTGGATTCACAGAAATGGTTTGCCTTGAGCGTGTCGTTGGTTGGTCAGATGTGGGAAATCTGGTTGGTATTGTTGGTGCGGGCTGGCGTGTTGCATCAGGCCTTGTGAAAGTCTTTGTCTTTTCGAAATATTCGTTTGATATCTCCTTTTCTGGCTCGTTTGAAGATGTGTCAGAGATGGCGACCGTCGTCCTCGTTGGTATCGAGCCGGAAGAGCCAACAGAAATCTTTGAGGAAGTTGACAGTGTAAACTGTAGAGGGAAGTCATTCTTTGGCGATGCTAACCGCGGTGTTGAGGGTTCTAGCAGAGACGTGAACCGTGTTGTCTGCTGGGTTGGCTTTGGGGAGGATGGATATTTGTTACGAAGAGGCCGGATTTGAAAATTCTCATCTTTATGTTGAGAAAATTCTAAATCTCCTTTCTGTGGTCCGAGAAACTCTTTAGGAACATCCCTTGGAACGCTGCCCAAGTTAGCATTCCCGAGATTAGCAAATGCAGTAGCATTAACAACGCCTGTGGAACTTTTTAGATTAGGTAACTTGGGAAAAATAAATCCGGGCACTCCTAAGGGTACGTTTTGTGCCGAAGACCCACTGTCTGGATGGAAAGGCCTCTGACCCACTGGGCCGATATCATCTGGGCTCATGTTAAACGGGAAGCTCTCAAAGCCACCTTGGAACTCCTGTGGAAAGTTTACTAACGGGAAATCATGTGGGAGTTTTTGGTCTAGGTGTCCAGACTGTGGTCTAGGCTGTGGTTTGGGGTCTCTACTTTCTGATGACCGTGTAGGCTTGGCAGCACCTTGAGATATTCTATTGCTGTGGTCTTGGGGTTGGCGGTGTGGCCTTGGGGGACGAGAGCCGGCAGCGTGCAAGCCCTCGCCGCCTCGATCGTCAGAGTAATAGTCATAGTCGTCGTAGTCTGCAAGGTACACACACAGTCAAGAAATGTCATAAGTAACAGGTTATTGATGAATTTGTCAACATTGGTCAAATTTATCTTTGCGAAAGGTCTAGTATAACATGATTTTTGTTTTTGCAATTATAAATTATCTGCACTTCATGTATGAAATTCTCATCAACGTTGTGTAAACTAATGATTAGTTGTTAATATAACCTAAGGCATTCTTACCAGCGTGGGTGTCGACGAACGTCCTCTAGTGTGAAGTGTACACGGCCCGTGTTTACATGACAGGGAGCCGAAGAGCAGAGAGACAGTCACATCAAGGTATTCAAGGTAATGTTAACTAGAGTGTGGACAGAATACCAAGAATGTTATAGATCTCGCCAGCTAGTACCTGGTGCCCGATGGTTCTCAATGTTTTATATATATATGTATATAAATAAATATATATATATATATATATATATATATATATATATATATATATATATATATATATATATATATATATATATATAAGTAAAGAAATATCAAGGCAGTTAAAGTATATTAAAGATAACTAAATCGCAAGTCTCCTAACCATAATAGTCCAGTTGTGACAAAAATGTCTGGGAAGGATAGACTGTTTCCAGTGACACTATTCAAACGTACAATAATTGAGCCTTTGTCAGTTGGCTGCTCAGACTTAGTTTCCAGGACAACTTTCCTCTCTGGTTATTTCCCTATTGTTAGACGATTGATCATAATCACCGAGACCGTAGGGAACCATTGTTTCTGTAAGCATACAGTAATGATTGACTAGTCAGTCAGTGCTTTTATTATATTTAATTTATTGTACACCCCAAAAAGACTAGTGTAGTTAGTGGTTATCCCATCTAATAATCCCCTCCACCTTCAATAGTCTTGGCCATGCCGCTTTGTACATAGCCATACGCTAGACAGCATCCAGGTAGGTCAAGGGCTGCCAACTACTCTCGGCATAAAAGGACTGCCGATCTAGACTTACTTCAGTAGCCGTAATAAACAGCTGTCCAGATCACTGGAGCTTGCAATCTTTGTCCTACAGAAAGCTGGCTTTCCACTGTGCTACTTCGCCTTTAGATAACGGCCCCTTTTAAGCAGCAGGCATCAATATTCTCGTAAACACAGCTTAGGTAGTCAAGATACTTACTAGGAGTGATAATGTAGCAGAGAAGAGTGGCGAGGTGCGTGTGCCGGCGAGGAAGGAGAACCAGTGCCTATCCTCGGCCCCTCGATCAAGTGATCCAGCGAACCTGTCGCCAGGGAAACCTACACTGTTTGACAGCGTGGCTGTGACTGCCAAGAGTGTTCCTCGATATTCGGCTTTCATTTGTTACACCAAAGTCGCGCCGAAGAACTTGTATCGCATTCTAAAACTAACTAAAAAATCTTATGTCGACCAAGCAGAAGATAAAAATTTTGATCTCGAATTACTAAGAAAAGTCAGTATATAAATCATCAGTATATGATAAGTCAGGTCAGGAGTAAGTGGTCAGGTGGCATGCTGAAGCTTCCAAGTTCCGGTGTAGCCAGAGACCACTACACACAGTGATCAAGTGAAAGATTAAAACATGCCATCAAGTCAGAATCAATTAACATGCTAACCAGAAAATAACCAACTGTTCCTTAGTAAGATAGGTTACAAAAAAGTCAGTCTAGACAATTTTTAACAAAAAAAAAATCGGCTGATCAAGAGAATTCACTTAGATTTGTAGTCAGAAACGTAAGTTGATAAATTTGTCATGTCAGTGTGATCCAGTTGAAAGGACAGCAACGCTTGTCAGCGAGAGCCTTACTATATTACTTCATGAAATTGGGGAATGGAAATGCAGCGTTTTAATTACTTTTAAAACTCATAATAAAAATCATATACCAATGGCTAATGTTTCCACAATTAACATCCGGTTAATTCACTTATGCAAGCAGTTATTTTTGCCCCATTTTGTACTCATAATATTCACCGTGGTTGTGTTCGGGTGTGCGAGTTACCATCGTCTTACACCTGTTGTGTGTAAACGGAACACCTGGTTATTTGCGGCATCAACAGTGTAGTGTAGAAGCGTTCTTATTGGTTTATTGTAAATTACCAGTACCGGAGTTTATCGTTTTACAGTTCATTTCTAAATTACAGTGACCATAGATAACTGGTAATTTACCGTCCATCTTTTGGACGGTAAAGAAACATCTTTTGTGGGGGGTTGGTAAATTTCGGCTCTCAAGCAACATATTTGTAGATTAGGACAAATTACCATTTTAGGCTCAATAGGATCATTAACAAATCTGGAAAATTTATCCAAGTATCCTTTAAGAACATTTGTAGGACCAAGAATTCTTCCAGGTATATTTTGTATAATTCTAAATATTCCTGATACTCTAGAAAAATTACCCTTTTTGAGATCTTTTGGTCTGGAGATCCTATGACCATGTTAGAAGTGGGGATCCTTCAAGGACTAAGCACCGTTTAAGGCGCAGGCATCATTTATTCCCAAGTCTAATATAACTAAGAATTGTACAAGGATCACAGATCATTCACCCAGGACCAAAAAAAATCATCTTGAGACTACCAGAACCAGGAATATTTTCAAGATAAGGATAATGGCTTTCTAGGACTATCAGGGTTGGGGATATTACTTGAAGCAAGCTCACCATTAAGCGCTTTCTCAACACTGACGTCGAGATGACATTAAGCTTTGGCATGGATGGAAGCAGCATGGAGAGCAAATGGAACAGTATAGGAAATAAAAGAAGGCTAGAAAGAGTATTTTGTTGAAGGGGGTAAAAAGGGTAGTGGCAATAGTGTGTTAGCTAGATGTTGTGATAAGATGGCGACAGTCAAGAGGAGTTATATACCGGAACGTGAGTAAAAGATGGTTTGGGTACCGATGCTGTGTACGCTTGTAGCCAAGATTGGATCCGTGTGTGTAACCGTGATAAGTCAATATTTTTTAAGGCAACCTAAATTACCTTCACAGATTAGGCAGAGATGTTAGATAGTACTTGTGGTTACAGGGTGCTGTTAGTGACAGCAAGTGATGGTGCAGTGTTTTGTAGTGGGTTAGTCAAGGGTGTTGGCGAGTTGTGGAGTGGTGGTAGTAGGGCATGTGACGAGGAAGGGAAGGGTGGCACACGGCATCACAAATCCATACTAGGAGGATGGATAGGTAGCAAAATACACCCACACCATTCCCTCCCTAACCACATCACACCCTGCCAGACTGATGAGTGGCAGTTACACCAAGATGCCAATGCATGGAGCTGGGTGAAGGCTGCAAGTAAGACCCAAGGAAGCATGAGCGAGGGAGGGGAATGAAACAATTAAGGACAGGCTGGGCTGGCCGTCACCCGGGATTTTTTTTTTTTTGGTAACACAAACAGGACAAATACAAGCACCAACCAAAGGATATCAAAAAACACGAAATTAAGAAAAAATATATGAATGTATAAAAAGATTCAGGTTGAGGCAGTTCAACTGCCTGTACCAGAAACTGAAAGTAAATATTGGTAAATACAAGGACATTTTAAGCTTAGTAAAATGAAAGTTTCTCTGAATATAATGTACAAGGCGCTAGAAGATTCTTATCTACTCAAAATCCTTAAGGCTAATTAAGAGCTTTATTTTGAACTGGATTATTTTTCTCTAAGTGTTACTACTTCCAAATGATTTACTCCTACACAGTTCTCGACAAGAAAGAGGACAGGAACACAAGAATTATAAACGTTTTGCACAGATTATACATTATATAACTTTTAAACTACTATATACACAGTCACTAACTACATTTAATATAACTTGATAAGTATGAAATATATTCGCCTGAAAAAAGTTAAGTATTTGGGCGTGAAGTTTATGGTTTCTACTGTAAGTCAGTGGTTTTTAGGGAAGCCTGGGACATCACCCAAGCCCGAAAACAAAACCCGATTTGGTTGGCATCACGAAAATGACAGCAAATGGAAAAATAAACTATGATCAAGAGGAGGACTTCATATTTAAGTGTCAGACTTCTGCAAACTAATATTTTCAGTCATAACCTTTTTATATTAGGGAAAATAAAGTGTCAATGGTTACTATGTAAACTACACCCAATGCAATATTTAGGTTCGTAAATACAGGAAGTCATGTTTACAAAATAATATATACCGGAGTAAATTTATTTCCGTTTGAGACTAGTAAAGTTACTAACCATAGGGACCAGCCGTAAGACACCACGCTATTCCCACACAACTTTGGACATTATTCTTATTGAAACCTGTTTCTGGCAAGTGACTCGTCCCGTGTCGCCTCGCCCTCTCCACATGTTACAATGCTTGTACTACGGAGCTTCCTCATATGCTGCTGCTGCTACTACTACTACTACTGTGTACATGTTGCCATCTCTGCTCCCCTCTGTGTGCCATAAGCTCAGTCACAGCCTTAAGGTCCGCCTTGGCAACAAACATCGCCAGTCTAATGTGATACATCGAACTTTTTCATTATTTAATGTTTTGAAAACTATGTGAGAATATTAAGTGCAAGAGTGGGTCTTCAGTACTAATTTTTCTTATTTTTAAATACGTAAAGTTCTACATGTCAACATCACAATCTTTGGAATTATTCCATAAATGTAAAGTAACTAAATCCTGTTCGAATTAGCCTGTTTCGGAATTAAGTTTCATTGTGTATTTCACCTTACACCGATCAGTAATCATGTGTTCAAGTCATAAATATGAAGTCCTCCAACTGCCACACATACCAAGATGTAAAAAAAAACTTGCAAATTATAAACTAACAGTTTCATCTACAGCTTAATACTTGTGCGGTTCTAGGCCCCAGGCACGCCCAAGGGGGGCCCCCTCCAGGCACGCCCAAGGGGGGCCCCCTCCAGGCACGCCCAAGGGGGGCCCCCCCCAGGCACGCCCAAGGGCCCCCCCCCCAGGCACGCCCAGGGGAGGGCCCCCCCCAGGCACGCCCAAGGGGGGTCCCCCAGGCACGCCCAAGGAGGCCCCCCAGGCACGCCCAAGGGGGGCCCCCCCAGGCACGCCCAAGGGGCCCCCCCCAGGCACGCCCAAGGGGCCCCCCCCAGGCACGCCCAAGGGGGGCCCCCCCAGGCACGCCCAAGGGCCCCCCCAGGCACGCCCAAGGGGCCCCCCCCAGGCACGCCCAGAATGAATAATGAAAGTTGAGGTACCGTGTGCGAGTTACCACACTGGCTGGGTACGCGCCTCTTGTCCCCGTGGGGTGTGCCTTGCCTCACACGGCCAGACTCTGGGTCACTTGGGCGGCGGAGGCCTGCAGGCAAGCACGATCCCCTCCATGCTTAGATAAGCGTGGCGACTCTTGACAGACAGACCACCTGGTATGTGAGCAAGGTGGGCTGGGGTTAATGCAGGGGCGTACCTTGGCCGGGGTTGGCCTGGGCTCCGGGCAGCACCACGGCCGAGCTAACTGACCCCGCAGGGGCCAGCTCGTCGTAGTCACACTGGTCCAGTACGTTGATTTTCCAGCCCAGGAAGCGGTGAGTATAGCACTGAAACGTCCAAAAATGTGATAAAGTGCAGCAATGACAATGGAAAAAAGGGTTAACACCTTGATCATATTTTCCTACAAAAACTTTGCTGCTTTTTATTATTATTATTATTATTATTATTATTATTATTATTATTATTATTATTATTAACATCTTTATTGACAACAATTATAATTTTGCCAAATCTGAGGAATTCAATTAAGTCTTATTAGATTGAGGATAATGCTGCTATTCACTGTCACACAGGACAGAGGGTCATGCACAAGACAATAGGTCTAAACTGTAGGCTGTAACCATCTGGTTGATATCTGGTTGATGGGGTTCTGGGAGTTCTTCTACTCCCCAAGCCCGGCCCGAGGCCAGGCTCGACTTGTGAGAGTTTGGTCCACCAGGCTGTTGCTTGGAGCGGCCCGCAGGCCCACATACCCACCACAGCCCGGTTGGTCCGGCACTCCTTGGAGGAATAAATCTAGTTTCCTCTTGAAAATGTCCACGGTTGTTCCGGCAATATTTCTTATGCTTGCTGGGAGGACGTTGAACAACCGCGGACCTCTGATGTTTATACAGTGTTCTCTGATTGTGCCTATGGCACCTCTGTTCTTCATTGGTTCTATTCTACATTTTCTTCCATGTCGTTCACTCCAGTACGTTGTTATTTTACTGTGTAGATTTGGTACATGGCCCTCCAGTATCTTCCAGGTGTATATTATTTGATATCTCTCTCGTCTTCTTTCTAGTGAGTACATTTGGAGGGCTTTGAGACGATCCCAATAATTTAGGTGCTTTATTGCGTCTATGCGTGCCGTATATGTTCTCTGTATTCCCTCTATTTCAGCAATCTCTCCTGCTTTGAAGGGGGAAGTGAGTACTGAGCAGTACTCAAGACGGGACAACACAAGTGCCTTGAAGAGTACAACCATTGTGATGGGATCCCTGGATTTGAATATGTTATATATGTTATATATGTGCGCTTCAATCAACTAAATAGACAGTATACATGTTTAAATTTACGAATATGTAAATGCAACTTTCTGTTGTGCACTGCCACACAAGGGCAGGGATGGGTTCATGTGAGATGCAGCTTAAAAATAAAATAATTTTCTTTATTCTTTAAAATGGACAAGCAAATTTTGTATAAATTGTTAGGATGTCGTCCATTACACCAATTCAATGAAATAGTTACACAGTTGGAGGTACAAGAGGCCAGGATGTCTAAAATCTTTTACGGTTTCACATTCAACAGTATAGTGTTCTAGTGAATGCCTTAAAGGTTTGTCAGAGTTTACAAGCTGAATATTCTGGTAGTGGCTGAGCCTCACTAACCTGCCAGATGTGCCTATAGCCAAGGAGAATTCGCGCAATGACTATACCACATTGTCTGGTCCGGTTACTGTACTGACTATAAAAATACCTATTACTACAAAAGATATCAGCTTTCATGTCTCTGGGCATTTCTTAGTTCTTCTGAATCTGAAGTAATTTCTTTAATTTGTACGTTTCTAATAATTGTATTAGATAGTTCAAAGTCAATCAATGTTTTCTTTCCTGCAAGCCTCATTGGCCAATCTATCTACAAAGTCATGTTTTCCAACTCCAACATGGGATGGGATCCACACAATTTTTATACAAAAGTCATTATTATTGGCAAAAATCACATTCCATTTAATATTACAAGCTACTTCAGACATACATTGTGATGGGTTATTTAAAGATTGCAGAGTACTTTTAGTCACAAAATATTACTCCACCCTCATTGAGCTTAAGATACTCGGTGGCTAGATAAATACCTAATAGCTCAATCTGTGTCGTGCTTGACCAGTCGTTCAATTTCTGTGTTCTAGACGTGATAATTTCCTTCCCTTTATTTACTGCACATGCACAACCTGTTCTACCATGTCTAATTGCACAGAACCATCAGTAAAGGCATAGGATTCAGTTGGTTTGAAATTTTGAAAATGACTATAGCTTCTAGTGTTATACATCTCATAGTTTCAGTGTTTATATATATTTTTTTTTACACTGATGGGTGTATAATGTATAGAGACCTGCACATCTTTCCAAGGGGGAAATATAATGAACAGGTTTATCAGGACTAAGACATTTTTTCATAAGATTATTGGCACAACAACTGAGCCCCACACTGTAAGGAGCTTTTTGTGGTGGACTGGTTGATACCTGGTTGATGGGGCTCTGGGAGTTCTTCTACTCCAAGCCCAACCCGAGGCCAGACTTGACTTGTGAGAGTTTGGTCCACCAGGCTGTTGCTCGGAGCGGCCTGCAGGCCCACATACCCACCACAGCCCGGTTGGTCCGGCACTAATTGAAGGAAACAATTTAGTTTCCTCTTGAAGACGGAGTAACTGACTAAGTAAACAGTCAGAATTGTTTAGAATGATCTCAATTTAATTTGAATAGATCTGGGGGAACCATTAAAAACTTGTTCTAATATTTAGACATGTTACAATTAAAGACCGAGCTTAAGCCGTCTTTACACAAATGGCAATATTCCCCCATGAAGGCTACTCTACAGTAACATAGTTTGGCGTGTGATGTGTTTAGCTTCATCCAAACCCCTCTCTTGCTATCACTCATGCTAATCATTTCATCCTTATTTTATTTATCAGTGTTCTTTAGGATTTTCCAGATTGTGATCATGTATCATTGCAATTTCATTTTCAATGTAGCGAGTGTTCATGTACTCTCGACATTACAAACCCTCTCGAGTTATAACATTTATATTTGAATCTGTGGATGGAGTGACCCCTCAACCACTGCACTGAAGACAGCTATTGCGTGCCTGCTTCCTAACTGGTTTGAAGTTAAGAGCTTCATCTCTAGCACCAATCCCGCGTCGTCTTTAGCAATGTCATCCAACCTCCTGGTTTCCAGTTGTCGAAATTTGTAATAAACTTTCTTTCCTTCTAGGCTTCTTAAACTTTTTCTGCGATGAATATACTAGTTAAATCTGTATACTTTTATATGGCTCTTCAGGAGTTTCTTGGCTCTCAAACTAACACGAGGGTATGGTTGTAATTGTAAATGTTTAGTCGCATATTAATTACCCTACCTATTCCAGTAGTAAAGGTAACTATTAGCCTAACTTCATATCCAATTTTTGTTAAGGTACAAGTCAGAACAATTTCTGGACCTTCTCCAATTCTTTGATATGTGGTTATTATATTATCAGTTCTAAGGTAATAATGAATCCTCTGGTACTGGCCTCAAATTTATAGCAGACAATTCCCCAAAAAGTTGGTTTTGTCCAATTTCTCTAATGCCATCCGTGGGTTTACTAGTTTTGAATAGATTGACGTTTTGTCTCGTGTCACTGGTTCAGCATAAATCAGTCTTGGACCACTGCTGTCATCAGTAGTAAATAAAAGTATCTATCCATGACAACTATATCACGGTTTCATCACATATTTACTTACATTTAATAATCCCAATATAAAGTAATTTAAAAAAGAATGATTGCAGATTGAAGACTATATTAGAGATCCTGGTAACTGCCTACATGCACTTAACACTTACTGTAGTCTTCGAGAGAGTGAGTTATGTTTTAACATTCCAGCACACACAACCGACAGACCCCTCACCTGGTAGTAGACGGTGTCTGGAGTATTAGCGTCAGGAGTCCACTGCAATACGCCTGGCTGTCCCTCTTGACAGTCCAGCTTGAGAGTTCTCTGGTAGGCACCGAAGGATGTGAAGGTGGAGGCAGGTTGGTTGGGGTCCTCGTGCCACTCACAGAGGCGGCCGTAGGCGCTGGGCACGGGGCTGCCGTCCCTGTCCTGTTCGACACCAGCCAGCACCTTCACACGCTGCAAATTATCATTCGTTTCATCTTTAATATCAACGTTAATGTACTAATAAAACTTACCACTGCCATGAAAATTACCTTGCCACAGTCTCCTCCCGGCTTAGCGCCTTCTTCCGATATATATACTTGCTACTTACGCAAGCGACGAAGATTCATTCCAAATATAAATTTTTAATTTGTAACATCTAAGACCCTGATTACTTGACAAGGATAATATGTATAATAACTATTTGGGGCCTTATGTTTTGTAATATTTATATCATTACACGGCATTTATGAGATGGCCCAGTGAAGGATCCCTCCAGATGAACCCTGAAGGCAAACTTGTGAAGACGACCACCAGAACCAACTTTATAGGAATGTGAAGGAGCAGACTCCTCCCAGTGTAACACGCTAAGTACTTACGGATCGCTCGGCAGGCGTTTTGAATTCATATCCTCCCTCGGGGTCGTCGGTGATGTAGAACGGGTGGTACCGAGAGGGCACCTCGGGATCGAAGCCTCCCTCTACGACGAAGGTGTAACTCTTGCCTCGCACCACGTTTATCTCCGGGATCAGCAACCCGTTAATGTACCACGAGATTCCCCACCCAACGTGACCTGAGAACACATATTGTATTAGTAATTATCAATAGAGGGCACCAAGCCGAGGAAACACTATTAGATAAATTTAAGATACATTCCTGCAGGGGCCCGGCACTGTAGACAACCCCCTCCCCAGGTGCCCTATACCTGGGGCAACCCCTGCCCCATCCCAGATGTTCTGCACTGCAGACAACTATTTGTTCCTGGTGTCCTGCAGATAACCACTAACTACCCAAAGCGACCACAATCTGGTCCTTAACCGACACAGCCAGCAGCCTGCAGGAGCTCCACAACTAACGCCTACAAAGATATGCGAGAACGAACATGAAAGCCTATCCCCGCAGGAAAATTAAGTTATACAAGAACATGCAAATGCCTGTTCATAAATGCAAGCACATACAACTATCCAAACATTTATTCACACGCACTAAACTAGAGGTAAAGAGAGAACGCGAGAGACAAACCTTTGTTCATGGACGAGAGTGTCTGGTGTGCAATGAATTCTATCACTATATAAATGTTCAAATTAAGAAACTTGTCGTTTTAGGAGTGCAGAATTATGAAGGAAAATTGCACGGAAAAAAGATGCAGTGTAAATTACCGGAGCTAGAATTAACAGCAGATATCCTGGTTATGATTAACGGTGACTGAAGGCTATTAGGGTAGTAAGAGGAGGGAAGGGAGGGAATGATCAGGAGAAAGCGCCAAACCATTACGACTATATAGCTCTTGGAAGGGGGTCAGGACAAGGATTTGGGATGGGACAGGGGGGAAAGGAATGGTGCCCAACCACTTTGACTGTCGGGGATTGAACGCCGACCTACCTGAAGCGAGACCGTCGCTCTACCATCCAGCCTAAGTGGTAGTTGGAGGAAAGGAACACAGAGGATGTGCAGACATGGGGATTGTGTGAGGAAGGAGGGAATGAGTGGAAACGGATAACGGTAATTTGTGAATAGTGAAGAGTTAGTGTTGGGTTTCTTTATGACACCTCTTAGAAGTGCGCTCTACACCTAGTGTGCTGTTGTATTGGGTTGGGTTGTGCATCGTTCCTCCACTCTGCCCTCATTTCCTAACTTTTAAATCTACTATCCCTTGTATTTAATATCTCTTGAAAATGTTATATAGTAACGTTGAGTGTTTTTTCGATAATAAAACTGTCTAAACTTTTCCTGTAGACCTGGGAATGGTGGCGATTGATTGAAAACGACGATGGATGAATATGATAATACGATCAATGTCTGAGCATTGAAACCTTACCTGTGATGGAATTATAGCCACTGGTGCCTCCGGTGGGTCCGATCTGAGCATAGAAGACGCCGTCCTCAGGCTCGTAGCAGGGAATGGGTGGGATGTACCAGGGGTTGGCTGCTGGGGCGGCAGGGGCAGGTTTGACTGGACCCTTGGACACTGCAGGTCGGCTGGTGCTGCTTTGTTCCTCCGGCAGGGGACAGTTCCACTTAGGAGTCCGCCCAAAGTCAATAAACATGTCGCCTGTATCGTAAACAGCATAAATATTATATCAACCATATTATGATTAAAACTCTTATTTTATGTAATATGTTTGTTAAAGGAGATCCATCCAACTGTTACTGTTGACGTGTATTTGGTACCTCCCTCTGCCTACTCTGACCCCGATGCAAATATATTTTCATAATGTTGGGAGCAATGTGATACACAGGTTACGAAGTCACACTGTACGAGATATTTCTACACTACAGACATTATCTTATTCTGCTAATACAGTATTATATCAGCTCTAGCATCTGTGGACCACACAGTTGGTTTCCAGGAATAATCAGATGACACAGTACGGAGCGACTTCTGAACTCCTTATCCACTTTTGCCTGTATTGCCACATGCTAACATTAGCGCTGTACCTGCTGCATTCATTCGTCACATTTTGATTTGGTATTTTTAATTATTTAATATTCAAGCTTAATTCAGTCTTAAAAATTATTAATAAATATAAATGATACTAAAAAATCTACGGCCGCAATGTAACATCGTCCTACGGCTGTATTACGACATTGGACCAACAGGATGCTTATATCATAACACATTGCCTATGGTGACAGTAAAAGGAAATGCCTGTGGAAACAAAAGGGAGTACTTAGTTGTAACTACAAGGGACGTAAAGGCCGCAGGACAGCACTAGAAAGCACCTCTGAGGCGGAGAGAATGGTAGGAGGTGTCGCCCTGGGAGTTGATGGGGCCCACCGCCCAGATGACTGCCTGCGAGCCGTTGGTGAGGATGGCCGCGTCGTGTCGGTCGACGGCTCGCAGCGGCCGCTGGAAGGTCAGCATGGTGAAGTCATTGATGAGAGCCGCGTTGAGCAGACGAACGTTGTTGCTGCCGCCCTGAGGGAAAAGGGAGGGGGGATTATGCACCAGGTCACTGTTCATGCCTTAACACCAACATATAATGGACTGGTGCACTTGGGTAAGTGTACTGTTTGAACTCTAATGTTCAAGTAATGATTAAGTTAGAAATACAAAAAGTTTAGCAACAACCTACAGTCTAAGCCGAAGCAAATATACAAAAAAACCTAAGAAGGCAAATATGCGCTATTAGGCCTAGAACAGATTAGGTCTAACGTTTCAAATATTACATTCTTTAAGGAAAATAATCAAGATACACCTTCAGTTGGCGCCATATTTCCAGCTACACTTACTGTGAGCTTCTCATCAGGACAGGAACCTTGGCCTCCTTGGCACTGAGCCTTGGCAGTGAGGTGGTAGTCCTCGGCGACACCTCGTCCCGTGGTCTGGTCCAGCCAGGCCACCACCACGTCACCGCCCACCATCACGGACCTCGTCAGTGACCCTGACGTACCAAACGACATGTACTGGCCATCACCTGCAAGGACAAGCAATGTTGGGTGTCAGTGGTGGATGGTGCAGACGTCGATTCCTTCCTTCTCTTCCTTTACTCATTACTAATCTCTTCATTAGAAAAGAATCAAAAACTTTTAAAATCACTATTACCTCTTAATTTCTTCCTCCTCCATCTCCTCCCTCTTTCCTTCCTTCAGCCATTTCCCCTTGAGGCACACAACACAACACAACACAACACAAATACAGCTCAATTCTCTGGCGGAACCGAAGTCATTTACGTTGAGCTACGCACATAGCATTTCACTTTGAACCAAATGGAACAGTACTGACCACGAGAGCCGCTTCAGCAACACTGCCATAGCGTTAAGGTCATCAGAATGCTATTCAAATACACTCGAATATTTCGCTGTCGATCAGTTCTGACATTTGGTAACGCGTTCCTCGTCATAGGGAGTTATCAGGAGAAAGGGTCAAGTCATTACGACTATATAGCACATGGAAGGGGTCAGGATAAGGATTTGGGTGGGACGAGGGAAAGGAATGGGGCCTAACCACTTGAACGATCGGGAATTGAACGCCGACATGCATGAAGAGAGACCGTCGTTCTACCGTCCAGCCCAAGTGGTTATCGTCATAGATTTGGTCTCATTATCCATTGATAAGATAAAGACATGACTGGAGCACATCACGTGGATCTTCTGCATGATCTCGTTATGGTATAAGCCACTCACGGCTCTCTAACAGTGGTAGTTCAAGCTGTTAATTAATGCGGAAAAGTCAGCAACTTAAAGATTATGTTCACAAGAGAAGACTTGCTGGCAGGACACAGACCATGAGGTAGAATACTGGCCCCCAGGGGTCTCTCACTGGCCCCAGTGCCCCATGTTTCCTTACACTAATTAAAACCCGTGGGCTGCAAGCCGAAACCCAACCAGCGCCCCGAGGCCTCATTTCCCTACCCAACCATTGACCGTAAATCCTGCAAAGTTTTTAACATATTTACGCCAGTGGGAGCAGGGAATACACCCTAAAGAAATGCCCAGCAAGTGTATTACCCAGACTTATCTTGTGGGTTTACCATGTAGGTAGGAACCAGCAGCTGTGAATGTGTGTGTGTCGGGGCAGCGCCTGCCTCCTACGGCGCAATACACATGCTCTGATGACTGCATAAAGCACAACGATCCCCTTCAACATTGCGTTGTCTCTAGTGCCAATCTTTTCCTCAAATAGTGTGCCTGCGGGGCAGTTCTGCCACTATTTGCTCAAAGGCCTTGTGGACCGCGTGGGGGAAAAGTCAAACAGATAACGTGGATGTTGAAGGGTGGCTGACCGGCAGTAGGGGCCGCTTTCCTCGGGATACACAATCTCTTCAACATTATTTACCATTTCTTAGTACTGACCTTTCCATGGTCCTATCGATTGAGCTTAGTTAAGGCAATTAATACAGACCTTGTATTAGTAAAAATTTCAATCTATACATTAATGAATGTACAACGGTTGAACACTTATGTCTTTTAGTCTGGTGTCGCAGAATTCAAGCCTTGCTGTCCCGGGCAGACTCGTGTAGAGGGTTGGGCGTGTTGACTCTGGCTGAGAGCGACTATATGCCAGGGATTGAACTGCGAAATGTCAAGCTATAAAAGGAGGCAATTGGAGATTTAATCAGAGATGGAATAGTGGAGGGATGCAGTGGTTAGATCCAGATATTTATGAATTAATTGATGCCACTTTGATGTTATTGAATATTAAATGCTGAAATTTTTTCAACAACGTTAACTAATCTCAATTGATAGAATCATTTAATTTCACAAGTACATCTTGCTATAACAGGTTTCCAAACGTCCCTATAACACCGAGAGCAATCTGGGCTCCAATAAATTAGTACAAATTACAACAAAGGAATACGCTACCAAAAACAATGCTTGATGCTTATGGGAAATATTAATATATATTCGAAGGATGATTCAGAGAAGCTATAAAATTGTGAATCTTTCAGATAAACGTAAAACTTAAATATTTAGCTCATAATGTCCGAGTAAATTTTATGCTAATTTCTGAAGTTTTCAGATTAAGGTTTATGCAAGATGAATTTTTCAGAACGTTTTATTTATCTTTGTTCGTCACTAAACACAGCTGGAGCAGTTTGATTGTAGATTCATAAATTTATATTTTATCATATACTTTGTATTGGCATAAGCTAATAATATATTTTCACGCACGAGAACATTTATCGAAAATTACGTTATATTTTATTAATTTTGTGCTTTCTGCACACTTTCAAGTCCAAAGCATCAAAAGTTAAAAAACAAAAAAAAAAAAAAAAAAAAAAAACCTGTTACACTCGCTGGGAACTAAAGTGAAACCTTTCAGAATGGCTCCCATGACTACTGTATGGGAGCCAGGATGTATGGGAGCCTATTGCATGTAAAATATTAAACAAGGAACGTTACTAACCAACGCCGATCATTACGCTGTCAACACACACACACACCCAGGTGACCACTGATCTATGTGCCGGCCGGGACATCAATGGGTTGAAAGTTCTTTGACCAGACAAATTTGGCTTTGTACTTTGTATGTTACTCTTGGATATTGTGCCCTCTGGGAACGCTTAGAATTCCCACAGTATCGGTTTATGGTGGCGTGCACCTAGAACATTAAGCCCACTTTTTACATAATTAAATTTGTTTTTAATATGTTACCGAAATATAGTTTGCCGTGATTAGTTTTTTTCCAATCGGCAAAAAGTCATATGGCTGTATACCCTAAACAGTTTTGAAAATTAAGATTAGGTATAGAGCCCAAACCACAGAACTTTGCGTAGTATTTAACTAGAGCACATGTGCTAAAACGTGTTCAGTTTACGTTCAAAATTCATCCAGAAACACTAATTTAGTGTCGAATTTATATTTTAATTATATGGTACCGTATTAGGCCTAAGCTTAGATCAAAGATTGTTCTTACAGTTGACCAATCCCCACACACTAGAAAATGAAGGGATGACGTTTCGGTCCGTCCTGGACCATTCTCAAGTCAAAGGTGCAGGACAGACAGAAACATCGTCGTCCCTTCATTTTCTAGTGTGTGGATTGGTTAACATACTCCAGCCACGTTATTGTGACTCATCGCCTGCATTGTTCTTACAGGTTCGTTTTTTTTTAGATCCGTTTCTAATTTTCTAGAATGCCCTTTGGGCTAATTCGGTAATACGAAAACTTTCTCGCTGTCCAACAGTACACATTGGGACGTTCAACCAAATAGTTGCTATGATAACGACCATTTTAGGAGGCTGGGCTCATGAACTACCAGCGTCAAGAAAATTTAGATTGCTCGAACTGGAGACTTTTCTATAACAAAAATTAATATGAATTATGCTCACTCGTTATCTGGGTATTTACCCTCTTGGCACACCAAGAGGAACTATGTGCAACTAACGCACTAGCTCGTTCACACCGGGACGGTCATAATGATAACTCAAAAGTCAAAGTCATAAAAGTTCCTGAGCCCGTCATCGTAAACAAAGTCAATTCCCTGCACCCGTCAAACCCCCGGTTATTAATGAAAAATGGTTTACACACGACTGAGCTGATGACGTTCGAACACTTCTCTAACAAATTCGCTGACGACTTTCGTTCTAACCACAAAGCTGTAAATGCTTCACCCATGTACTGCAAATACAAATAATAGCCAACAGAACCTAAACACCTAACCTAACCAATGCCAAAATATGCACAGTATGTTAATATAACTTGATTTACATTCGAGAAAATGTTAATTTTGAATGAACAGCATGTTAAAGTTTATGAACGAGTCTTTGGGGGTCGACCGCTGGATGGAATAAACTTGGTCTGAGGACGGATCGAAGGGAGGTATAGAATAAAGTAACCTTAATATCATAGTTGTAAATACTGAAGCGGTATTGTTTACTTCCAGCCCTCTCAATTGCTTGCAAGTGAACACTTTTTCCCCAGATGTAAAGTAGACCTTTCGTGACTGATGGACTCAGCACTACAAGCCAAGCCATTGTGTCACGCCAGCGGGACGTGGAAGAGACTGACTGTTGGCGCCGGAGGCGGCTAGTTTATTGTGCACCCCATACTCATCCTGTGAGCGGTAGCGCAAATGGGATTACAGAGGGAACACTCACTGATCCTGGCGACGAGCTGCATGACGATGCTCTCCCCCGCCACAGCCCAGCGGACCTCCAGCGCCAGGTCGTCCCACAGCACCTCACAGTTCAGCTTCGTCTGAAACAAGTCGTCTGTTAGTTACAATAATTATTCCTTGCCAGCACACACCCCAGCTATTCGTCCCTAGCGTATTATATAATTATTATTTATATATATATATATAGTGGAAAATTTCCACATACCAATACAAGAAATCATATTTCTGACTCATATCTGAATCCTACAGTCCGATTCCTACATCTGTATCGAATCATACATCTACTGGATCCTACATCCATGACAACACCACAAAGGTCACATCCGCCATTAGGCCTAGGGATGGCCTACATAACTTTGCTCATTTGCTCTCATGGATCTAGAAGCTTCTACTTAAGCTGGCTTAATTGAAATACAATTGGAACATAATTTGGACATCCGGGGACGTATTTCAGAATCCATATTAAAGAATCAATCTGTACTATAAGTAATACCAATAACCACTAAATCCTACCTATATTTATCTTCCAATCACAACCGATCTCAAATTATCAAGACGAAAAATTATTAATCAATATTCATTGTTGGCCACCCTCACTGAGGGAGGCACCAGGGGCCAGGGCGAGCATTGTTGGCCGCCCTCACTGAGGGAGGCACCAGGGGCCAGGGCGAGCATTGTTGGCCACCCTCACTGAGGGAGGCACCAGGGGCCAGGGCGAGCAAGCGCCCGACCCTCACTGAGGGAGGCACCAGGGGCCAGGGTGAGCAAGCGCCCGACGGGCAGAACCCTTTGTTTACATAAACAGTGAACGCACGTGTGTGCACCGTTTACATAAACAGTGAACGCACGTGTGTGCACCGTTTATATAAACAGTGAACGCACGTGTGTGCGCCGTTTATATAAACAGTGAACGCACGTGTGTGCACCGTTTACATAAACAGTGAACGCACGTGTGTGCACCGTTTATATAAACAGTGAATCGCAATAACCTCCATTAATACCATATCGGTATTTTCGCATTACTTCCCACCCTTACTTCATGGCCCGACCAAGCCAATATTTACCCCACTTCCATCTTGTATTAATTTAAATGAAAGGAAACGTAAACTTCAATCCTATTATAATTTGTAGTCAAATACAGTGAAGTAGAAGGTAGAGAGAGAGAGACTTCTTGCAGGTCGTCGTTCAAATGGTTCAAATTGCAGGTTGAAACTAAACAAATGCAACAATAATCAAGGAGGTTAAAAGTATTTCATGTGACTACCAACTCATGTTGGCTCCCAATTAAATGGCAGGACTAGCTAGCCAAAGAATATAACTATCAGAAGATAAGCAGAATATAATCTTGAACTACTTATTAGCAGCCTGAGAACAATGATACACCAAGAACGCTTGAAAATGTCGTAAATCTGAGGAAGTAAAATCAGCTTTACCGATGTTGACCCGACTAAAGTAAATTGTCGGTAAAACTATTAGCATCCCATGCATCACTGCTATAATGTTTAATTTAAAGTTTTTTAGAAATATCACAAATATTCAAGGAATGAAAATAATTCAAAATTATACACAACAAAAATCTTACCAAAGTTTGTCTACTGTAGGTATTACACGCAAGTGACCGACTCCACCCCTAGAGGATGTTGGTAGAGTCTGGCTGGAGGATGGTTAGGATCGGGTGGCTCGAAGTTGAGAACAGCACCGAGAGAGAAGTTGTCTCCCTGGATAATGTGTTGGAACCCAGCGTTGTTGACTGACTATTATACACAATGTCAATTCTGCGAGCAGGAACTGGGTCATGCTTTCTAACATTAGAATATTGAATATCCAGCTATTACAGACCCCTTTTACCGGCCGGTATGAGATTCGTAGAGCTTTGCAAGTCCTTTATTCACTCCCGTGTTCTCGATAATATCCTCAAATCATCCAAATTTTGCCATTGCAGACTACTGATGGGACGCCCCTGGGTGATAAACCACTCTGAGATGTGTGGACTTCAGTATCACATTGCTAGCTCCAGACAAACGAACCCTTCACAGACTTTCGTAGCTGTATAAACACAGTTGTCCCCATATAAATAAAATAGAGCAAGATATTAATGCAAGTTTAAATACAAATTTGTTTCTACTTCATGACCCTGATTACCTCTTATTGCAGTGAGTAAGCTGCTCATGTTCACCGTCACTCGAGTTCCAGATTTAAACATTTACTTCTCAATGAGGCTCATGTCAGCTGCAGACATTATGTTATGTACGTGTGGGATTTATGTATATACAGTATTTCTAGAAGCGTAAAATTTACATACAACATTGCATAGGTCTCATTGCATTTAAATCATTGCATAGATTTAAACTTAATGAGTGAGAAATATACTGGGAGAGAAAGTGAATTGTGGAAGCGAAAAGAGGTATCTAAGAATGCAGAAAGCCAGGACGGCTATACACCCCACTGTGGGAGTGGGGGTGATTGAGTGGATAAAGCCATCTACGCACTACATATACACTAACCAAAAGTGGAACAAGTTCAGTTGAACAACTAATGTAATGTTTGTATGAGAGAGTTCATTATCTCAAAGCGTCTATGTGGCAATATTTGCAAAATGTTCGGAGATTTACTCTTAACAGGCGGATCCAGTAGGGTTACCTAGGGACTGTATGATCATTTCCTAGAGGTCTAGGTCAGTTTGGGTAAAACAGGTGCAAGGCGTTGTTCCATTAAGTGCCCATTGGGTAATTAAAAATGGCTAATTTTCCCTCTTCCCCCCGGTCAAAGCTCTGTGTTCAAAGTTCAAAGGTCTCAAAGTACCTGTGCAGGTAAGTCCACTACGGGCTCATTCTAAGTACCATAAGTGCTACTTGTAACTTTTTGTTCCAAGTAGCTAAATCTAAAAAGCTAATGCTTTATAAACTTCTAGAAAGTGAACTGGGATGTGTTCGACAGTTCTTAGTAATATGAACAAGTTCAGTTATTCATTAGATAGTTATATACCATGGTAAAGAAAATCTGAAAATCAACTTTAAAATGCGGGACACAAGCATTTTATGTTACAGTACATGTTGAATGGGATAGTTAATAACCCGTTTGTTTACTGCTTGTTCAACCATTACCGGCGTTACAGCACACAGACGCTTAACACGAGGGAAGAGAGCCACACACATCTCTCCGACACCTGTAGTGTGGTTAAACTCAATTGAATTTGTCCTCTACTGTGCACTGTTGTTCGATATTTAATATTTTCAGTTGAAAATGTGACATGCTAGGCCACACATTATCTATTACGTTCAAAACGGACTTTTTAGTTGTAACTATTTCACGCTAATATATTAAAGCTGCTGCTCTCTAAAGGTTATCAGCAAAATTTTCGAATCAACAATAACATTTACAATTTCTTAATCATCATCATTGTTGATATTAACTAAATGCTCTGTCTGACCTGGGGAAACTATGGCGTAGGGTACTAGTTATTCAAGAGAAGATCGAATTGCCATCTGGCCCTTCACAGGACTGGTTCAGCCAGTCAGCCAGCCAGCCAGCCAGGCAGCCAGCCAGGCAGCCAGCCCCGTCACACGGCCCTGTACAGGACTGGTCCCAATAGTTAACCTCACCTCTTCATGTTTGTACAACCACGAGAGACTACTTATGAAAAGTGTTCCATTCTATACTTATGACAAGTATTATATTCAAGTCTGGCGATTTAAAATATTTAGTCTGGAGTTTACTTCTTATAATGAACTTCGCACATGTTTAAATTTACAAATAATTAAATTGGCAACATTTTATCAATTTATTTGCATGTTCAAGAAAATCTTATTTGCACAGCTGTCTAGAAAGTAACTAACATTTTGTTGCCATAAAATGATATCAAGTGTAACTACGACCAACTACTACCTGCTATATAGAAGAAGAAGAGTGCACACAATGATTTTCAGCGCACACTGAAAATACATTTAATAATTTCAGTCTATGCTACAAGAGAATGTCTGTCCACAGTAGACGGCCAGACGCTTGAGGCTAGCCTCACCCAGATTCGCAAGGGAAATGGCCTGGGGTATGGGATGGACATAGGCTGGCCGGGGTAGGCCTAAGTTAAATGCTGTAAGAAACATTAATTATAGACCCCCCCCCCATGCGATGCTCACCGAGTCAAGTGAAGTATATAGTCCGTTTATCTTAGAGATTTTATTAAAGCAATAATATTTTCAGAAACCCATGCACTTGTTTCAGTGCTTCGGAATTTTCCGAGAGAAAGTGGAATAGGGAAAAGATGGTGGGGGGGGGGGACGACGGGAGGGTCAAGGGGGAAGATGTTCGAACCAGGGAGGAGGAGAGGGGGGGGGGACAAGGGGAGGAACGAAGAGGGATATATGAGTGAAGAGTAGGAAAGAGGAGGGGGAAGAGACCCGAGTGTGGCCGGGTACCTCTTCTACATAAATATGTATGTCTGTTCGAAGTTGGAGGGGAGAGGGAAGAGGATGGGGAGATGTGATAAGAGGGGGTGAAAAAAGGGAGAGGAGGATGAGGGGAGAGGAGGATGAGGGGAGAGGAGAGCATTTGTGGGAGGAAGAGAAACCCCGGGCACCGCGGGTTCCCCTCTAGACCTATACAAGAGAATGTCTGTCCGAAGTTGAGTGCCAGACGGGGAAGAAAGGGGGAGGGGATGGAGAAGGGAGAGAGGGGGGGAGGATAGGGAGAGAGGGAGGAGGATAGGGAGAAGCAGTGAAGGGGGGAAAATGGGAGGGATGGGAAAGGGTGAAGTTGAGGGAAGGGTTCATTGAGAAAAGAGGGGGGAAAAAGGGGGGTGAAAGTCTCCTGGGCACGCCGGGTACCCCCTCTTGTATATTTATGCGAAATGAGAATACATATAAAACAGTGATATTATTCCTAGTTGCAGGTAGATACATTTCCGCTCCATGTGAAGACTAGCCATGTAGGCCACTTTCCGCATAAGTATTACATCAAGGATTCAACAATACATCGATTTAAATCATATTACGATGGAACAAGTTTCCCCAAGATATATACAAGATATATTTAATCACAGTCGTCACTCCTGTAATTTCAACTCCAATTACTGAAATCTCTA